ACATCAGCACTACTTAAAGGTAAGCAGGTAAAAAAGAGATAACTTGCAATGTCAGCAAGGTGGTAATTCAAACATGTTGAGTGGCAATTATTGCATTTTCTGCCATAACCACATAATATTTCATTGCATTTATATTTGGCACTAAAATGGGATATGTTCTTGTCTTATTAGTACCTGGAGTTTGAGAACGCCCATTCATGCTTCGCTCAAAACCTACCAAAAATGCTATATAGTATAAAACAAGCACATTTTTCTGCTTCTCTGCATCTTTTTGATGGTTACCCATTAGCTGTAATTTGTGAAGCTCCTTTTGAAAACTGCAAAATGAAATTTCCTACTGTAATCTGATTATATGCAACAAAAATATTTATTTAACTTTATTTTATTGGGAGACAAAAGACGAACAAGTCACGTTCCCTGGGATTAAACCTGATTTCACTTACATATTATATTTTTGTAACGTCGTAGATATAACTGGTTAATATGTCACTCAGTGTGTGCCAGCATCAATTCTGCAATCAGATTGTGGGGGGGTTAAGTGTAACACATGTTCTCAGTTGCCTTTCCGAAGGGAGTGTATAGGCATGTACTAAGGATACAAAGATGGCATCATTAATATGCAAGAATAAAATATTATTCTTGCCAGTAAAACTGGTTATTAAAATATCTGTATAAACTACTTAATGGCAATATTTGGTAGCAACATGCGAGAAACCTAGCAACTAGAACCTAAAACATTTAAACTAATGCAGAATTTATCTCTTCCAATCAGATTTATATCAGATTAGCGGTGATTCAATCAGAGAGGGGGAAGGATACCAGATGCATGCCACATTCTCACAACAACTACTCAAGGACCATTTCCAGTCATCACAACAGCCAGAACATAACCTTATACAGGTGAGTATTAAACAGCGCCCTCTACATGAATTTTGAGAAATCTGTTTTAAAGTCATTACTGCTAAAAACAGTTCATGAGTTGTCTCTTTTTATTATCATGCGCATATTCAAAGGTTTAGTTTAGCCTTTTCAATACCACACTTTCTCTGCCAAATTTGCATTTTTTTTTATATTATTCAATATTTCTGGAAATGAACCCTAATTTTGGAGCCAACAGATAAAATTGAGGTAAATTTTTGTTTTTTTGTTCCAATCTTCTGAATGAAAGTTCAGACTATAAACGGAACTGTTTTGTGAATTTGTGATGAAAAGAGGGAACTGGTGGTGAAGGATAAGCTATATGATAAGCCTTATCTGTGCTTGAGCTCAATCAATGTTAGTTGCATGATCAGTGTTCTCCCCAGGATTATTTTTAACAGTTCAGATAATTTACATAATAGAATTAGCATGATAAAGAGTATGCAAATTTAAGTTTTAATTACCATATCTATTGTTATGCTAACCATGCAGGGTCTAGGGCATGACAATTCACATATACATCACATTTATGTAATAAAGACAACTGTAATGAAGTTTCAGATTAATTTTTATTATTAAATCATGGTTATAATCATCGTCATCATAATCGATAGTCTGTTAATTTAATCGAGGACATAATGTGTCCAAAGTACTGCGTGCTTGTATACTGCTTCAATTATTAGTCCCCGTTCAGACGAAGTCCGAAAACGGGGACATATAATTTGGTCTCCGTCCGTCCGTCCGTGCGTCCGTCCGTCCGGAGTCCTATCTCAGAATCCCTTGGACCGATTCCGTTCATTCTTTGCATGTGCCTAGTACTTTATGTGGGACATATGCACATGCAGTGGTTTAGCGATTCGATTCAAAATGGCCGACTGGCAGCCATCTTGTTTTTTGAAAATGTTGTATTTTGGACATGCTTTGTCAGTTTTCATTCAAACTTGGTACATAGATTATACATGTTAGGATACATGTCCATGATGATTTATTTCACAATTGGATCAAAGATGGTCGACTGGCAGCCATCTTGTTTTTTGAAAATGTCGTATTTTGGACATGCTTTGTCAGTTTTCATTCAAATTTAGTACATAGATCATACATGTTAGGATACATGTCCCCGACCGTCCGTGAGTTCCTGAGTCTGTCCGTCCGTCCATCCGTCCGACCGTCCGTGTGTCCGTCTGTCCGTGCGTCAGTCTATCCAACGTCATATTTCAGAATTCTGTGGACCGATTCCGTTCATTCTTTGCATGTGCCTAGTACCTTATGTGGGACATATGCACATGCAGTGATTTAGCGATTCGATTCAAAATGGCCGACTGGCAGCCATCTTGTTTTTTGAAAATGTTGTATTTTGGACATGCTTTGTCAGTTGTCATTCAAGCTTGGTACATAGATTATACATGTAAGGAGGATACATGTCCATGACGTTTTATTTTGCAATTGGATCAAAGATGGTCGACTGGCAGGCATCTTGTTTTTGTTTTTTTATGCGGTATCTTGGATGTGCTCTGTCAGTTTTCATTCAAATTTGGCACATACATGTACTTTATACAGGTTAGGATGCATGTCCATGACATTTTGTTTCAAAATCTGGTCAAGGATGGCCGATTGACAGCCATCTGACTTTTTGGCCTTACTACTATATTTCCACAATTCATGTACCATTTTCATTCGTATTTGGCACATACATCATACATATCAGTGTGTTTCATAATCAGATCAAAGATGGCTGAATAACGGCTGTTTTTATTTTGGCCATATTACTATGACACGAAACACGCGTGTTGATGTAAATAAACAATTCTGTTGTATACACCACTTGGAACTCAAGTTTCAAGGACACGCTCGCGACAACTCCTCCGCTTTAATATGACGAGCACAAAGAGAACTTAACGGGGACTGTGTCATTTTCAATGACTTGTTCACTGTGATTTTATTGCGCTATTTTTGCTGACAAGTACAATCTGCTAAATTAAACTTATGTGAACATGTAAAATAACAATAAAACAGATTGTTTCCTTGACAAATTCATGAAATATGCAGTGAATATGCTCAAAACATAAAAATAATGAAATTAATTAAATTTCGTACAACTACAAAGTCTGCACAACATACCTAGATAAAGTAAAGAAAAATATTGCGGTTTAAAGTTCGTCCGGACTTCAAGCCCTTGATATTAAGTGGTCCAGCACTTTCACACTCCAACGATCAAAATTTGTTTAGTTGCTATCAAATTATCGTTCGTAAAAAAAATACCTCACTTGTGAGACGTGCTTTTGATACAAACAGAAGATTGTGATCGACTCAACACAAAACTGCCGCTATTTTGTCTTCCTTGTCCTCGTTCGATAAAAACAAAAAACATGCATATTTATTAATTATTTAATGAATGCATATTTTGTTTAAAAATATCAAACGAGAATAAAAATTGAGTAAAATAGAAACTTTTATTTGAGAAAAATGGAAACCACACAAAAACAAACGTGGAACATAACTGTCTGCGAGTTGTGTGCAAATAGATTGTTTACAAATTAGGACTTTCTGTAACATTGTGTAGCTCCAATGCGTAAAACAGAAAATTTATATCCTGAATATTAAAAACTGACAAACTTCCTTGCCGTTGTTGTCAGGTGTTTGCCTTATCTATAGATAAGTTTAGCCACTTTGAATCTAAATTGCTAGACGCGGGGGATTCAGCCTTCCGTTTCTCTGCTCGTGGCGTCGCAACAGTGATGAAGGTCAGTACTGGGTTGAACCATGAATGTACTAACACCTTTCGATTGTTGGGGATAAAGAATTGTTTTCTTGACACAGACTACCTAGTGGACTCTTTTTTTTGTTGGTGACAAGAGGTGTGAGACATGAACGGTGCCACACTTTAGGTGTCTCTTTAACATTGTCGACTTTCTGAGTGTGTACTGCAGTCGATCGCTAAGGTGTCGATCACCACTAAAAGTACCTTTGTTTTGAGGCGTGGGCGTTGACAATAGCGAAACAATGCGCCATGGTAAACAATAGAAAAAGGTTGAAAGTGAATTAAATCTGATGCACATTTTAAAAATAAATAAGACATTCAAATTTTATTGTTTTCGGTGTCAGATGTATAAAAATAATCATAGCTGGAACTGAAGCCCTTCAAGATAAATGTCTCGCGATATTATTAGGAGTTTTTGAATCAGAAATAGGGGTTTAGCGCACTTCCAGAAATGCGTGTAGCTGCAAGTACCAGTAAGTATTCTGGTCTTAATTGTACCAAATGCTTAAAAACTTACTGGCTGCTACAATAGGTGATTATCCGTTCACTGCAAGACATCGCATAATGCACAGACCAAAAGTCTGCTGTAAATGTCTAATTATTTTGATTTTGAACTTTTGTTTTTTAAGAATTTCATGTAAAAAATTTTATCTTTCAGAAGGGAAATATGGAGCAGAGATCCTTCTACGTCATCAAAGTTGACCCTTATCAAATGTGTATAGCACATTATTACCGTGGAAATACTCCCAAAATATTGCCAAATCCCATGCAATGTTTTAAAAAAGATACGAGTCTATGGCCTTAGTTTGTTCTGTAAGATTTGCTTTAATGTATAACACAGGATCTCGCAGTGAACAGAATTTTTAGGGTGTTTTCCGAAACTATTTCGTCAATGTACCACAATTGTATGTTTTCCCCACTAACATTTTGTAAATTTCATTTTGTGTCTAAATGAGGGAAAACTTGTATGCCCAATATCTTTTCAGTCCCAGTTTGGACGCAGTCTGAAAATGGAGACTTATGTTTTGACCTTTGTGCGTCCATGCGTCAGTGTGTTCGTGCATGCGTGTGTCCGGACCTGTATCTTAGAAATGTCTGGACTAATCACAATCCAACTTCACACATACATCATACATGATATTATACATATGCACATTAATTTGTTTTAACGATCTGATTCAAGATGGCCGAATGGTGGCCATTTTTGTGCTAAAAAATCATCAAAATCAAGCATTTATGGATGGATTTTGTTTAAACTTGTTAAATTTAGGCTCATCTAACAAACTTGAATTTATTTGCAGTGGACGGAAGGTCCTTGTCCTGTTCAGCAACCTCCTGATGGTGCAAGTACAAGTTTATTATAGATGCAATCTTCTTCCTTTGCCGTGCTGTACATATTAACGCCTCCAAGTTCAGCGCCTACTTAAAGCCACCAACTACAAGTCTAGTCTCGTCACTGTGACATCTTCAGGAAAGAAAAGGCAACTGTGTTGACTATTTTCTTCATATAATAAACTTTTTTTAAAACTATTTTGAGGGTTGAGACGGGCAGGGTTTATTTTTTAATTGAAGATATTTATGGGGTACGCATTATTGTGATGTAAAATCAAGTTAGTAGAACTAAATTTCCCATTTTTCACTTACGTCTCGCAGTTTTCAATTATGTCAGTGATTTATGAGCAGCATCAAAGTACATGCCATTGTTGAACGGTTTTGTATAGTGCCCTCTAGTGGCCAAATGTAACACTTTCTACCCTTTTTACATGTGTGGCAATTTGTTGTCGCATGACATATTTGTATTTATTGTACATAGTTTTATGGTCCTTGTTGTCTGTGACAATTGTGTAGAAAAGAGTGTTTAGTTCAAAATCACAAGGACAAAGTATATTTTTATGACATCAACTAGTTGTGAAAAAAAAAAAGATTATGGTATTTTACATGTTTCATCTTTTCCTTACTCTTTCGTAGCTGGCCCTGCTGTAAATATGGTATATATTTGGGTCGGGAACGTCAATTTATTTCGATTGTTGCTAGTATTTCAGTCAAATTTTGTCTTATTCAAAGATCTATTGCAATTTGCTAGAGATTTTTTTTTCTCAAAAATAATTTAATATCACTTTTTTTTTTAAAGATATTGTTATCTGTTTAATTCTCGCTGATACCAAAATTTTCACTTCCACAAAATTTCAAGTCCTCTCCTGATTGGTGCATCATCGTCATCATCGAGCTGAGTCGCGTTCGATATAGAACCCCTAGCTACATACACAACACGTGTAATAATGCCTACATGTGCTGTGCGACCACCACCGCTCGTTAAATCGCCAGTTTTATTTTTTACACATGTTGTATATGTCACATGGAACGTATATCGAACATGACTCAATGATACTTTAAAACTGTGTACAGTGGTTCAGCTCTTTAGCTCTAATATTTTTGAGGTCAACATTACTTTTATTATAATTTCAGCAGAGTGTTTTCGTCACTGATCCTCTTTGATCTCATCTGCCATGTGATAATAATTAATGCAACGGTTTATTAGATAAGGATATGTGAATTAGATGTTCATTTACAATGACATGCGATGCGATGAAAAACTTATTTTATGCACGCTTTACATGAATTATTCTGACTAATGGCATCGCGCGTTACGAAAACAAAAATGTGCAAGGTTATTCAATTGAAAAATCAACAACAATAATGAATATATTCTGCTCCACAAGTATGCAAAAATGCAAGAAAAACATCATGAGACAAACACGTAACTATTTATTTCACAAATGCATTTGCATAATTGTAATTCTAGAAATGTTCATTTGATTTGGTGAACATCTCGCAATTTGCGCGACTTCAAACGAGATCGCATATCACCCACGCTGGCATATCTTTATCTTATACAATGTTGATGAAACTAATACAGCAGCAATTTCCTGCCTTTAAAAACTTTGACGTAATGCATGTAAATTGTACAGCCTTATCACATTACTCTACGATACCCAGATAAAAATGATTGTTATGCTAATTCTATGAAAGAAACAAGTTGATGACTGGTATCTACAATGTTAACATCAATCATGGACAGAGAAAAGACCCAAGTACGTTTGTGTTAAAGAATCTGGTTACGAAAAAAATCACTATATGCCATCATTTATGCTGTGTGCGGACGAATTGAACCAAAAAAAGTTTTGAAACTGTATGTCACATATCTGTTTCATATACATGTAGCTGTTTTCATCAGAAAACAGTGAAATATAGGTTTTATTAATCCAAATAACTAGATGAACCCATATTTCACTGTTTACTGATAAAAAACAGCTGCAAATGTCAGATCATGTTTTGTAAAATTATTTAATGATATTGCAAGTGAAAAAAAAGACTAAATGAAAAATTCACTAAACAAATTACGTTTCAAATTTAGGCTTTAAAATTTGATTTTTGATGTTTCATTTTTACGTTGCTGGGGAAATGTGATGTAGTGTGGTGACAATCAATGTCAATAGTACGTGATTTTTCATTCACTGAAAACTCTCTTTTTGTGTGAAAGGAGCTGACCTTCTGCAAAAATCAAATGATTTGATTTTGAACTTGAATTTTTTTTATAGCTCAATGTCGAAATGATGATCGTTCAGAGTAACAGCCTTACTTCATCAAAATTCACCATCATCAAATAAGTACTGTAAAATACTTTATTTTTACTGGAATTTATCTTCGCTGAAAAGATTTTTTAGGTGTGTTATATGGAATTTATTTTCACTGATTTTTGGCAAGTTGAATGTAAAAGATAGGAAAAAAGGTATATTCACTGGATTTTATTTTCACTGAATCAGTCCTTCAGCGAAAATTAATTCCAAGCGAAAATAAAGTATTCCACAGTATAGCACATTTTTAAGTATGGAAATATCCCCCAAAATACTTTCTAGATTGTTGAATGCATGTGACGTTTTAATGTCCTTGATTTCACTCATTGTATGAAATTTCACCAAAAACGAAAAATGTTTTTATTATCACACATGGAGCCCTTTGATCTGACAATAAAATATGGCCTGACATTTGAAAAACCTGTCCAATATGGAAAATATTTTTACAGATTTTAAAAACCTTAATCCAGCATGGTTAAGTGTTTTTAACAAATGTTTGATTCACTGATCGATATTCTTCGTACTTGGCATGTTCTAGCAGGCGCTCCACTGAGAACGTGTATTCAATCATTGGTGGGGGGGGGGGGGGGTGTTTAAAATTTAAAGGGGCACCTTCCAGCTAAGCCTAATCTCACAACAAATTTACTTTCTGGATTAACAATGGATAACAAAAGATAGATTAACATTGTAAACAACATAAACAATAGTGTTCCATGATTCTTTGGTGCAATCCAAGGGATTAAGCAGTTCCCCTATACTGCATTACATTTAGAATGTTACATAATAACTTTATGTCAACGATATGTTCTATTAACCACACAGGAATATACAAACCTTGTATCAATGTGTGAAGTTTGATACAAATTTAACACTTTTCAAAATCGTAACTAAAAGTTATGAGTTGTCATGATCAACAACTTTGCATTGCTAGTTTTAAATTGAGCGTATGTAATTTACTCAGTGATCTTGGTATTTTGACTAGTTGCTTCACAACTCGTAAATTTGTTGCAATATCACAAGGATTATTATGTAATCACTCTTCACTGTAATTCAAAGAACAATTGTTAATTGCATGAATTTTGCACAACTTAAAAATACATTTCTGTTTATGAAAAAAAAATCATTGAAAATCATCAATTGAGGGACGGTGTCTGAAGTAATTGTTGGAAAAAAATTCATTTGCCTTGTTAAGTTGTCAATATTTTGTAAAATATTGATTCATGTTCATTATTTGTATGCGACTAAATGAACAAAACATAAATTATAAAATTATACATTTTTTTAAGTTTAATTAAAAAAAAAAGTATACTTCATATTTTTATAGATATATATATATTGACAGTGATTACTTACGATGAACCAGAATGACAGTTATGGGAAAAAAAAAATATTCCAATAGTTACGTTACATTGCATCTCTGTTTTGAGTGTGGCCTTAAACACTTGAATAAATGTAGTCTTTTCACGTGTGACAAATTCAAACTTCAACATCCCACTAACCCTTCGCAAGTTCCTAATGGGAATTAACTTTTGTAACCAGTAGCTAAAGATAAACCATTTGAAAATACTTCATCGTCCACAAAAATCTAAATTAAACATCAGGAAAACAGGTGTAGATATAACCAGTAGATGTTGCATGATGAGAAGTGTTTTTCAATTTGTCACTTGAGCAGTAAAAAGTAGACCCTCTTCTCTGTATTATTTTAGATAAACGATAGAATTCACCTTGGCTTATGTGCTGTGCTATTTGTCCTGGCTGAACATTGAATTAAAAAAAACAAAAAAAACGCTTTTCCTGTTACCTGATCAATGTGTCGATTTTTACATTTCAACCCCTGTCTCTTTTTGTGGCCACTGACTGGTTCTCACTTTCTGTTTCCACAAACGCTTCACACAAAATTGGCTGGCTCACAATCACAAAAAAAAGGGGTCAAGGTCAACCTTCGTCACATTTTGCAAAATAAACTTGTGTAAATTCATTCATATCAAGATCTTTAGACAACAGGAAATTATATCCTTTTGGTCTAAAATTATAAAAAAAAAATATGAGTAAATTTACATTGGCAGAAAAAAATTGATCAATTAGTTCACTAAATTAAAACATTTTCACTGACTGATACCGATTCAAATATTTTCAGCATAAAAAGAAAACAAACTCCATTATTTTGGTTTATATATTAATGTATCTAACGTTTTATCCTTGTAGATGACCCAACCAACCATGTACACTGGCCCAAACTTGACAATACATATTCAAATTAACTTGTATTTCTTATTAAATTTATTGTATCAATGATTATTAGTTAATTGCAATGTTTCTGCTGTTTTTCCTGAATTTAAGTTTGTTTTTGTTTGGTTACCAATATGTATAATTGTTGTAAATAATTTTGTTAGTACGTTGTTAACGGGTCTCTAAGCGATAAATCAACAATGGGGGTCATCAACTGTACAGTGGATTGTTGTCGTATTTCACCCAAACATCCAATCTTTGTTCTTTCCAACAGTCAAGAAAAATGACCTGAAATAATTAAAGCTATTTGAAATGAAATATTAAGATTTTGAAGTTAAAAATTTTAAATTAGACATTGCTGCACCAAGGAAAAAAGTACCAGGATGTGTGACCTTTTAGGGGTCATGCATATTTTCATTCTTCACTGTTTCCAGGTGATATGTAAACAATTTTTTTTTTAACAACTTCATTTCTGCTAACTTGAGTGTGTTCAAACTGTTTTATTCTCGCCCAAGAATGTGACAAGAATGTTGCGTTACTTCAAGTTCATATTTACGGTATTGTGCATGTCTAATGTATCAAAAACGAACGTTGGAGTAGCTTAATTAGGGAACAGCTGTATGACTTGAAGGCTGTGTACATCTCTCTTCTTAGAATAACCTTACTGAGTTGGGGTCTGCTATTTTTTAATAATAACAAAACACGAGAAGTCACTGTTTCATACCCCAAATTGCTATACTGTTGACACAAAAAACCTATTTCATTGATTTTTTATAAATATTTATAAATTTCAATGCCAGTTGAAGCCAATCAACGAGTGCAGTTAACAATGAAGTCATTTGAACATGTTTCAATTGGCCAATAGACATCTTTCATTTCTGTTTAAATTGTGACATTTATAAATGTTTATAAATGTTGTGTCAACAGTAGGAGTTAATTCTCATTGCATAAATTCTTTACAAATTTGTTTGAAATTATTTTTGCTCAAAGTGATAGAAAAGCAACAATCAAATCAGACAAAAAAATGTTTTTAGAAAGCTATTTTTGCATGCATTTGGTGCATTTTACTATTGTCCCGAACGTATAAGGCTGTGAAACCTGAACCCTGTTTTTTTTTTGCATTGTTGATTCCTAAAGACACTGTAATATTTGTTAAAATAATCCTAATTATCATTTTTTGTATATCTTTCCATTTATCAAAGAAACTTTTGTAAGTTTTTCTTCATATATTTATTGCTGCCAGCTGTCTTTTTCTTTTTTTGATTTTAGTTAATACATTCAGTAATTGTAATAAAATTGACAATTTTTTCATGAAAAAGTTTGCCTTCCATGGATTGATAACTTCTGTTGTAAATGTGTGCAAAACTTTTTTCAAACCAATTATATAAAACAACAATGTTAACTAGTATCTGAGAATGATGCAAGAATATCATCTTTCGATACTGAGACAGCAGCCGAAATTATTTGCTTAATATTATTTATAAGGAAGGAAGTAAAAATGGCATGTTTCGTGTTTATTTCATGTGATTCCGATCCATCTGTGTAATATCGTACTTCTGATACATGATTTCAGTACAACGGGTAACCATGACGAATTCTGGATACTTGAAGAATTGCTTATAGTTCCATGTAAGAAATTCTGAAGACATGAAAATAATTAAATTTCCAATGTGATTCAATAAATTTTTGCTGAAATATTTAGCTGTTTTTTAGAATATTAAATTCGGCAACAATTTGAAAGGATGAAATGTACAGTAATTTGAAATCTACAAATGTAACTGGTATGTGTAATACAAATAAACAAAGCAGTGTTGAAACATGTCACATGACCTCAGTAATATATAAACCTGTTGTAAACAGGCGTTGATGTCATGTGGGCGGAGCCAGCGATGGTCATGTGACCATTGACACATCTGCATAAAGATGCTGCAGAGGCTCATGGGTAATAACCATTGATTGCTGAGGTGAAGCAGGTCATGTGATGAAGGCATGTTACACTTGACATCATTTGCATATGAATATCAGTTGCAAATGTGCTGTGCCATGCCATCTAAACACAAACAAAGGAGAAATGAGTCGTAGAGACACAAGCATTTTCCTTTGTGTTGCAACTACATTCAATCTTTTTTTCTCGTATGTGATAAGGCAATGGTAATGATGCATGGCAATCACTGTAACATCTTTCCTTCTTACACCGTGAAGAGAAAAATCTACAAAATCTGACGCCTGAATATAAACCAGACTTCATTTATTTTTTTCCCCTGACAACCAGAATTTAAGTGAGACATACTATAATTTTGCAATACTTTATGTCAGTGTATTATAGTCATTTGTCTAATAAAATACACTACTTTAATTATATCAATGTCCTTAGTGAATAAAAGGATGTAAATGCTCTAGCACCCATCCACATTCTCCACCCCAAAACTGGCCTGGCCATGGTAATTTTATTCTCTTTTTTTTTCTTTTAAATCTTGGTCCAATGCAAAATTGTGTATCAACACAGATTCTACAAATTTGTCTTGAAAGGAATTATCATATAAAACAATGAAAATGTCATGACTGGACCAGTCTACATCACCCCCACATCCCCACCACCTGACTCCAAGGTTCTTCTGAAAGATGCATACAACTCAAGCAAACCAATGTGATTTTTACCCTAAAAAATAATTGACTTGAATGGCACCTTCCTAATACTTTAAATCGCTTTGATGGTTTCTGTACTTTTTCACTGGTCATTCAGCAACAAATTTAATCAATACCCAGTGTTTTAGAAACATTTAATAGTTTGCGAAATTGATAATTAAATATTAAAAAAAAAAACTTTGATACTGTACATGTATTTGTTGAAATGCATAAAAGATAACTGGAACTTTAAAAAAAAAAAAACTATATAAAAGTCAGGCATTAGTTTGATAGTGCTAGCTTAGGGTGCATGCATAAACAATAGTAGGTTTTGCTTTTATTTTTTTTTAAACATGAATAGTTCATGATTATAGTTCAGAAATCAAAATTTTATTAAATGGTTTTAAACTACACAATTTTTTTTTTTTGATTCCCATGTATGAACTGCTTATTTGCACGTTTTTGCTAACGCAAGTAATGTTGCGAGTTGTAAAGGAAAACATTTCTAAGACATTTATTTCTAAACAAGATTTAAATAATCACATAGATGGAAAATATGTCGGCAGAAAAAAATAATAATAAACAAACTCGAGATTTGTGGGATTCTGCAGCAATGAAAACAAAATTAGACATGGCTGATTTTTTTTAATTTGGTGGTTACCAAGGCAACAAAATTGATACACACATTGAATTACAGAATCAGAAACCAAGTCCACTTAGTCATCTTCTGCAGTAGGCGGAGTTACGATGAAAGCAAAAGATGCTTAGAGGTGGGTTTGTATTCCCACAAGCTGTCATTTATGATAATTAAGTACATAAAAAATAATCATTTTTAGAATTGATATCTGACACCCAATTATCCAACACAGTCTTGGAAATGTGCCCCATCCAGGAATCACCAACTAGCCACTCTCTGCAAGTCCTGTAATTGTTGACAAAACTGTGATGTAAGCAGATGTTCAGACACAACAAGAACAACAGTTGATATGACAACATGGTGATGTCTGACAGTTAGCTAGGCCTGATTGGATGAGTTACACGGTCATGTGACCCATCATTCCATATTAGGTCATTACCACATGTTTACAAGTAAATAATTTGTTTTCTTTACCCCTGATGTCCACTATTTGAAACCCCGTAGTAAACAGTAAACCACCACACGCCATTTTCTCCCCAAAACGGTCCTTTTTGTGGAAAGATTAGTTGGGGCGCTCCTGGCTTTGTCTTGCCCCTTAATTTTACTACTCGTATTTCGAAATAAGCCCCCTCCGCATCTTCCCGAGTCTGGGTTTTTCGCAGCATCTACACTCAGTACATCTGAGGCCCTCGTGTGTTCGTGATTGGCGAATCAAGTCGCTGGCATAACAATTTTTTGTTCGTCACCTTGAATGGCCAGCCATCCAGCGCCAAAGGTCATCTTTATAGGAAATAGAAATTGACTGACCGGGTGAGTTACTTTTGCTTCGTCTTTGGTAGTTGCGCCCCAATAATAACTAAGAGCAAGTTATTATAACTAATATTGCCAAACTTTCGCAATTGCCGATCAATTTTACATGTGCAACTTGCAAAACTCGCGCCATTTGCCGGCGAGACGGAGCTTTGTACGAGGAGAGCTACGTAATGGTATATCCCAACCTTTGGTGAGAAGAAAATCTTTATGACTAGTAAATTATTTCATTCATCTGAGTACAATATTTCTCACTGTTAGCTTAGTTTACATGTAACATTTTCGTAACTCCAAATTCCAGGAAAATTTATTGGTTTACATTAAGAAATTACAGTTCATAAGTTGCTGGGTCGACATATTAAATGAGCCATTATTTGATCTGATGTAAATTCTCCTTACTCAGAAAACCTTTTCCCACGCAACACACCATACTCTGACTTTTTACTTGGAAATTTCTCGCCGCAAATCTCCAATGAACACGTTAATTACCCACCTGGGTTGGTTTGTAGTATTCGAATCCCAAAACGTGGGCCTGATTTAAGCATTTTAATGCAAGAAATCGCGTTTTATCGTTCAGGGATGAGCCAATATGTTGCCGAAGTATTTTTTCCGGGTGGCGAGGAAACCCATTCATGTCAGTGTTACGACTGTACTCTACGGCAAATCAGTGTTGTTCATTTTTACGCCAACTGTTATGTCAGTCTAAATTTGGTGTCTGCTAAACTTGCCTTCCGTTCTATTATTTGCTGGCTTTGATACATCTGCATCTAGCCGCCATTTAATTGTGTTTTTGTCGGTAAATAACGCTTTTCATGGAATCCCCGACAACAACGCACGTTGCACTAGTACACGTGAGCCTAGTGTCCTGCAATACTACTTTACTTGCATGCAAATTTGCCGGCTTGATACCAAGGAAGTATTTTGCTAATGTAAGTGTCCAATGTTTGATCAGACTGCTCAATTTGATTATGTAAAAACAACAACTTCAACTTCAAGTTCAATTAAATTTGATTATAATTTGCATAAACATTACAAATTAAGTTTATCTTGGTACAGTTATCTTATTACCACATTGGCAACACATTATTACCTAATTAAACAGTTCTCACTAACTCTATTCACTGATTTTCGTTGTTTTTTGTGTGTGTTTAGATTATATGATTGAAACTATATTATTTGGATCCTGTATTTTTAATGCATGCTTTTTGAACCCTGACCCTGAATTTAGTTAGTTGTTTTCCACTTGTAGCAGTGGCAAAGAAAAATTTCCTTGTCCAGGTAATATTTTCTCTGAAATTATCGTAGTTTCATATCTACACAAGTCCTGCACGCTCGTTTTTTTATCCACAATTGTTGCCTTCTGGTTTGAAGGGAACATGTTCATGTCTTTACCAAGGCATATCTTTCAATGATTTAATATAAAGTTACCTGAATGGGAAATGTATGCTGATCTGTATAACAAGTAATATCTTAGGAAATACTTATTTTTTTTTGGTTCGTTAATACATGTAGTTTAATATATTCAATAATTTAAAATCTAAAATAAGGATTAACTTGTTTAAATATTTTTATTGTTGCTATTGCTTTTATTTTGTTGTCCATTTATCAGCTTGCCTACCAGATCCAGCACGTCCTGGCAAGATGTGAATCCATCGACCAATCAGGCTCAACCTTTTCTGAATTGATACCCCACTTTCCTTATTTGGGCACAAGAGACACTTCAGCCAATGGGTATGCAGATAACAGGCTTATCAGGGTTGCAAAAAAAAAAACAGTCTTCCCATCATGCTTTGCTTTGTGTTTGTTATTCTAATCGTGTTGAGTGAGCCATAACCCCACCCTTTTGTGATGTGTACAGTTGCCCCCTGCGAAGTCATCAATTATGCTTAGCTTTGTTTTCCTGAGTGACAGGCTGCAGCAATAAACATAACCTCATGCAGGTTGCATATGCAGTAACTTGTTCTGTTTCAACATAATTTATAATAAAAATACAAAACAATTCAAAATTCAAGAAAACTGAGATAGCCAGAACAACACTTGAATTTTTAAAATTGAATTTGTCATATATGATATCAATTCCATATTTTTCTCATCATGATAAATATGGATTGAATTTGGCTCTCTGATTTTTTGAACCTCACTAAACTTTTGTAACATTCATATTGCAGGTCTTACATGTAAAACAATGTCTGACGATGCGAGTGAAAGAGTGACAAGAAGTGGGAGAAGGTCCATGCCCTCATCGCCTACTAAACTATCTGAACGGTGAGTTGTCATGGTAACTGTTTTCAATTTAACAGTGTCCTTGCTAGATTGTGAACTGGGGCTGTCCCTCACTATGCAATGCTCGTCAAAAAAGGTCCTTGAACGACAGATAGAAGTAGGTTATATAAATGTAGGTTTTCACATTAATATTTCCTCACCGAAAAACAATTACTGAAGAAGGGGAATATTCACTGGATTTAGTATTTAATATGGATTTGATTTAGCAGGGATTTTTAATAGGTTTTAAACTCACAGGTTTGTGAAAGAAATGATGTATTCTATTGTCAGCCTTGCATGTTCACTGTGTTAATTTAGCTCATTTAGGCATAAGTGAAAAAAGCCAGTGAATAATTAAGCAATATACAGTACTCGCTACTGTGCATATTGTAGAAAAAGTTATAGCAACAAATCTTTTAAACAAATTATTGTATTTTTACCAGTCACTTGCCAATGGTTACACAAAAATAAAATGTGGGTAAATACAGTATTTCACATATAGTATGTCATAATTTCATGATAAATTAATGCTAGATGACCAGTTGGCTACAATTTTACCAGTTGTCTTAAGAGAAGGCCTTGTTTACACCCCCTCAAAAACACAACTAAAATCTATTTTTAAAAATATGAATAAATTATAATTTGGCACATGCTGTGTGTAAATTAATAAAAGGAATTAACATTTTGAGTGTCTAGAGATTACCAATATTATTTTCAACTCGAACAAAATTGGCCCCCAAACATGCATACTGGGATGTATATGTTTAAAAGTAGTGAATATTCATAAAACCAAATGATCACAAACATCAGGATTTAGTGGGTACTGAAATAAATTCATCTGGGGAATAAATTTGTCTATTCATACAGGAATATCGCAATGTAAAACTTTTGAAAGTGTAGAAAATTTCTAAGCTATTCAAAGTCTTGTTGTACGTAGCTTGTGGTCTTTGTACTGCATGCCTGGATCAATGTTTATAAAGAAAGTTGTACTGGTTACTAATTTTAAACTATTTTCAGGCCACTTCACAAGGTGGATTTTACATGTTGCCATGTACCGGTACTTGTACATTATTTTGTGTAAACTCTGGTAATCTCAACCTGGAATCTTCATTGATGCTCTGAAATTCAACAATGCTACCTCGTGGATCATTTGTTTCCTGGACGAGAAGTTCAGTTTTAGGAAGGTGTACCTTAGTTTAAAATCAGAAATTGTGAAGATAACTTTTTCAAATTAAGAAACCGCTTATGCAAAACTCAGTAGTTATTTCTTATCGTAATATGATTAAATTACTTAAGTTATTCATACAATAATTATAAAAGTAAAAAAAAATGTCAAATAAAAAAAAGTGTTACCTAAATTTTGCATGTTGACCTTTGTGGTTTAGTTGAGGGTGCTCACTTTCTCTTTCTAGATTGTAGGCACATTCTTCACAACAAAATATTAGCTTGTATATTGATGTCCCTCCCATATAATGAAAATTTAATTTGTGAAATTCTCTTATATAACAGTATGAACCAACACTCCCAGCACTTTCTTGTTGTTAACAATTGCAAAACTAATTCAAGAAAAATGTTGTTCCTACATATCTGCTCTATTTTTGTTTTCATTGTTACCAGAAACATACTTTTCTTTGGCCTCAATCAAATATTTCCATCAGTTGTTCATTTTTAGCCATATTTATGATTATCTTTCAGGAGATCATCAGCTGACTCTTCGTCAAGTGAGAGATGTACCCTCACCGGTAAAAGACAAAGAACATGTGATTCTGAAGATGACAATCCAGGCTCTCCTGGAAAGTCTAGTCTGTCTTCTTTAGCAAAAAGGTATAAACCTGAGTATTTGATAAACATATATATAATGACTTCACATTTCAACTGATCCCTGAACAAAACTTGATAGTACTGTCTACTGAAAACTTCCACCTCCAGTCCTATGTGACATCTGGCTTCTTTAATCTGTCCAGTGCCATGTACAAAATAAACTGTACGTGCCTCTCGAGTTTGTACTATCGTGTATAGAGAAAGCCATGATACTGAAGTTCCACATTTTTTAAATTCATAAAATTGTCATATTGTCTACACACTGATATAGGATGTTTTGTGAGAATAAATCAATTTGATTGAATATCTTATAAAACTTTTTGGCAACACAGTACAAAAATGGTCACTGCCTGTAAGGGTAAAAAAAAATAGACTAGAATATACCTGATTAACTTTTAATTCCAGACAAATTGAAGTTTACAAATATTACTTCTAATATGTTTGAAATAATACATAACTTTGACATTGCTTGAATATTAATTTGATTAAAAATTCATAAATCATTTTTTTTTTTTTCCATTGGAATGCGAAATTTGATAGCCTGAGGTCATTAAACATGTCTAAATGTTTAGACTCTCCAGTGAAATTTTTCAATACTAAAAAATATTCTGATAGCAAAATTGAAATAGATTACATTAGTCTTGACAACTTGGTATTGATGTGACAATTTCTTTCTGTTTGAGTGACCGCTGTATCTGCTGCAGCTTCATAAAAGAATGACCTTGAGATGGTGCTGATTCCAAATTTTGAGCTGAGCGACATACTGAGCATTGTTCTTGTTTATGTGTGTGAAAAACCCTCATTGAATTTAATGGGGTAATTTTATTACTATTTTATTAGTCACTGAATTTCAATGAGAATGTTCTGAAAATTTGTATCAATTTTAGAATGCATATACGTAACTATAATTAGTTTTTGACCCTATGCCACAGAAATTTCTATATTAAATGAGAAAAGACGTTCAGCATAGAAACCCATGCATTTAATACAGATAAAATAAAAATACAATTTCCTAATTCTCAAAAAATGTTCAGTGAACCCATAATTTTCTGCATCTCATTGTTGTGAATGCATATTATTATGAAGCAACTACATTGAATTTTTTTAAATGTCATGAAAAGTAAAAATATTCATATTCAGCTGAAATATTTATTGTTTTCCTTAACTCCATAGGAGTGATCCAGACCAGTGTGACGGTCTTCATAGCAGTAAACGTGCCCGTACCTCTGATGATGACCATTCTGTGAGTTCGCAGGAACTTTCATCAAACCGTGAAAATAACGGGGATCATTATTCTGTCCAAAACGTTGATGGAGAGAACTTTATCATGGACGACAGTGATCCTGAAGTTTCATTTAAGGAAAACAGCTTTAGAGTGACTGAGGAGGATGTGAAATCGGATAATGAAGGGGAGGCAGAGACAAATGTGGATGTGGACAAAAGTGATGTTCCTTTAACAAAGGAACCTACCAAAGTGGAAAGTCTTAGTGTGAGTGATGTACTCTCCAATGATGATCAGGGAAATAGTCAAGATTCAGAGAATGGCGTCAAAAATACAGATATACTTGAAAAGGAGCCAGTTAAAACTGGTGATAATGATGTTAAATCAATTTCAGCTGATGTACTTGACATTAATGCAAAGGAGGAAAGTGTCGAGAGTGTTCCCGAGATATCAGAATCTAAAACAGAACCTAAAAATTCAGAGAAGGATTTTGATAAAAAATTGAATGATAAGTCAAAGGAACCAGAGAAAAAGGTTGCCTTGGCCGATGAACAGGAGACTGTGTGTGAAAAAGATGAAACTACAGAATTGAAAGAAACTACATCTGAAAAAGATGAAACTAAGGAATCGAATACATCTGAAAAAGATGAAACTAAGGAATCAAAGAATGTTTCTGTAAAAAATATAGAGGCAGTAGAAAATACAGCAACTGAAATAGGTGATGAAAGTGGTAAAGACAAGGGAGAACAGAAAGATGTTGAAATGATGGAGGTGATAGAGGATGAGTCTTCAGACAAGCCACAAAGTGAATCTTGTAAAGAACCACAGAATTTATCAGTTATCAACGATGCAAGTGAAAATAAGGACGAGGCACACAACAAAGAAAACGATTCCCAATGCGCCAATACAGATAGTTCAGCGGAAAGTGAGCGTATTCAGCGGTAAGTATGAAAAGCCTTCTTATGTTCAGTATGTCACTAACATGGCAGCTTTCATAAAATAGGTGAGCCAGCTGTCAGTTGAGATTGTATCCCTGGTTGATGCATGTTAAGCTTGTCTGTAATCCAAAAGTGAGTGTGTCTCTAACATCACGCTTGGGCGAGTCTGTGGTACCACAGCTGAAGTGACATACATACAAATGTGCATATTTTTGGAACCTATGATTCACTCTTATGCTCAGTAAATATTCATGTTCTGGTCACTGTGCATCAGTTTCATTACCTTGTCTCATAACTTTTTTCACGTTTTTGTGAAAAGTTAATTGTAATGACAAATTAAAATTCAGCAGAATTTTAATAATAATTTTAAAATCAAAATAAATTTACTATAAATGTTATTCCTACCTGGCCTTGCTTTCTCAGTGGTAACATAGTTATCCTTTATCCTGCCAGCCCCATGTCCGTTTACATTCACTTGGCCAGAAAGATCAAGTACTGCTCTAAGGACAACCTAGACTGGCAAAGTCGGGACTTATTTTGGACTCCCATGTGCGAAGCACAAAATGGGAGTCTTTGCGGTTAGTGTGTCTGTATATGTGTCCGTCTGTTCCACTGATATCTCAAGAACCATACATCAGTTTTTGATGAAACTTGGTGCATAGATGCTCTGGGCTAATGCGCAGATTTGATTAGGTTTTGGTAAAATTTCATGCATATTAATTATCTAATTTGCATGATAATAAGCTAATTTTTAGCTGTTCCATGATTGTTCTATTGATATCTAAAGAACCACTTATTGGATTTTGATGAAACTTGGTACATGGATGCTCTGAACTAATGCTTGGTTTTGATTAGTTTTTGGTAAAAATTACCTAATTACTAATTACCTAATTTGCATAAAGATTAGTCAATTTTCGTTTTTTCCACTATCTCAAGTACTAATCATCACATTTCAATGAAACTTGGTACATAGATGTCATAGGACACTGCACAGACCTGATAGTTTTTAGGGTAATGTCAGTGCATATTAATTACCTAATTTGCATAATTAATTTTCAGCTTTTGATGTTTCAACTAGTAAGCATCACATTTCAATAAAACTTGGTACATAGATACTCAAGGACTATGCAGATTAATTGTTTTGGTATAAATATTTGTGCATATTAATTACCTAATTTGCATAATTAGTTAATTTTTCAGCTTTTCCACAGATATCTCAAGTACTAATTATCACATTGCAATGAAACTCGGTACATAGATCCTTTAGGACTATCCAGAGACCTGATTAGCTTAAGGGTTAATAATTGTGTATATTAATTACCTAATTTGCATAATTAATTAATTTTCAGCTTTCACACTGATTTCTCAAGTACTAATCATCACATTTCAATGAAACTTTGTACATGGATGCAGTAGGACAATAGACAGACCTTGATAATTGTGGGTTGAAATCTGTACATATTATTAATTTACATAATTAACCACTTTTAAGCTATCACACTGATATCTAAAGTACTAATTATTCCATTTCAATGAAACTTAGTGCAAAGATGCTTTAGGATAATGTACAAACCTGATTAGTTTGGGGTTAAAATCTGTTTATATTTATTCCCTAATTAGCATAATAATTTATAATTTTTTGGGGTTCCAATTATTCCATTTCAATGAAACTTAGTGCAAAGATGCTTTAGGATAATGTACAAACCTGATTAGTTTGGGGTTAAAATTTGTTTATATTTATTCCCTAATTAGCATAATAATTTATAATTTTTTGGGGTTCCAATCACATTTCAATAAAACTTGGTCTGTTACATTGCGCAGACCTCATTAGTTTTCCATTAAAATCTGTTCATATTAATTTTCTGATATGCATTATTAGTTTTTGGCTTTTCCATCACTATCACTATCTTTGACAAGTAATTTTGAATTATATTTAATGTGTCTCCAATACTCTCAGCACATGGGAGTTCTTTCTAAGCTTTCTTTGATTTGTTTTACAAAAAGAAATAATTAATTGTTCTTTTATTCCTTTTAGCGTGATCGCGAAAACTGACCTGACCAGTAAAGAAATCCCGACTGGACGCATCTGCGGGCATCTGACTGCTATTAATTATTTCATTGATTATTCATGAGTGGGTGGGTGATAGTAAACGTGACCCTTTTAAAGGTTGATTTGATTCGATCGCAGAGATGGGTACTTAAACTGTTCATGCTCACTGAAAACAAGTCCATCTTAATGTTCAATGTATATGCACTCTGATTCGTTGTCAAAGCTAGTCAACATCTTTTAATTAGCATAATCGCCGGAGTAATTCCGCTCCGGTTTTCACTCCAACGCAAGGGGACGCCTGCAGATGCGTCCAGTCGGAATTTCTTTCGCAGTTGCTAGTTTTCGCAATCACGTTAAAAAGGCTGAATTGACAATTAATTATATATTTTTTGTAAAACAAAAAAGAAGTCCCGACTTTGCCAGTCTAAGGACAACCCTGCACTCGCTTGAAACTCCATGCTACGTTATTATTTCAGTAACAATTTTGGAAAGTTAAATTGGTTATCAAACAAAATATCTTTTACCTTTTGGTGGTACAAATGTACCTGCAATATGTGGGAGAAAGCGGATACAGAGTTATAACGTTATAATGTGATGAGGTAGTTTGCACTGTTCAGTTTTTGTACATTTTTGATTACTTGTTCTCAGTTGACCATGGAATGCCAGCTAGAACATGCCAAGTATTTACAACATATAGTTGTTGATCAGTGGAAAGAAGCAGTCTCAAGTATAACATTGAAATACACTGGTTGAATTTTCAATATAATGTTGCGTTAACAAATAGTTTAGGTCAAACTGAAAATATTTGATCTGGTAGGGTATATTAGTATATTGTTATAATTATGAATCTTAATATTGTTAGCAATTTTCAGCATATATATTTTGTATGCTACAGTAATACCATTTATTTTGATGTTTTTAGCATATTCAGCGTGTTTTAATTTCACGAATTTGTCAAGGAAACAATGAGTTTTATTATTTTACATGTTCACGTAGATTTAATTTAGTGGATTGTACTTATCAGCGAAAATCAGTGAATATTTAATGCATTTTACAGTATGAAGATCAGAAATATTGAGTGAATTGTAATAAATTAGCTGAAATATTCACATGTGCAGATATGATACTGTCAAGTTTCAATCTAACTTTAGAGAACACACAAGGTAAAAATTATCAAAATTGTCTGGGTATTATTGTAGGAATAATATAGAGTAAACCAGAGGTCACCAAGGCTTGTAAGCATCAAGGCAATTACTTCTGATGCCTTTGTGCAGTTTAAACCAAGAGTTCACACTCATTTTTTTATTAGCTCCTGTGTCGAGTGGAGCTTGTATGAGTGATTGTCTGTCGTCGTCCGTGTCAATGTTTTACTTTTTCGACTTCTTCTTGAAAACTACAAGCCTGAATGCTTTGATACTTGGTGTATATGTATCTTGGGTAGACCTCTCTTAGGTTTGTTCATTTCATGTTGATATCTTCAATTCTCTAATTTTGGTGAATATTTTTGTCATTTTTGGTAAAAAGTGATATTTTCGACTTCTTGTT